GAATATTCCTAGCCTTTTCATTTCTCTGGCACATATATACACCGGGAAGAGGCTTATAATTTTGACGATGAGACTACCCCAACCCAGCCATCTAAAAGTGGTACTAATTTGAGAAAATTGCAATATTCAGATTTTTCCCTTTACTTACAATATAAGCTCTACCTTTCTACCAAATTTCACGGTTCTACCTTTATAGGAAATACCTTTTACGTCAATTTTGATGATAAGACTATACCCTCCCCTCTAAACTAATTTTGAGAAAATTGTAATTTTCTGATTTTTCTCTTTACTTATAATCCAAGACGTACATTTGTATCAAATATCACATGTCTAGTTATATGGGAGGTGCTTTATAATGATGATGAGACTACCCTCTTCTACCATAAAGCCACATTAATTTAGGAGCAATTGCATTTTACAGATTCAGATTCCCAAGCCCTTCATTTTTACCGAATTTCACGTTTCTAGCTATTCGAGAAGGACCTTACAACTTTGAAGATGATGAGTCACTCAGTAACAAAAATGCAAATTTTGAAATTCTCCTCTTTCGAACTGGCTTAATATTAAGTGCTCAAATTTTTACAATATCCTAAGCGGCCTAGCTTATTTTACGATTCAATTTTCAAACGCTCATCTTAAGAGGAAGCAGAGATATGAGGGTGAGAAAACTCGAGTGAATTGGTACGTGAAAGATACGAGGCGGCTTGCTGGTACTTGGCCAGCGCACTACCGTGCGCTCAGATTTTGAATTTATATTTTTTATACAGCATCGTTATTTCTTATGCTATTGAAACCTTTGATTTTAATAGGTACAATTAATTAAGGTTTTTAGTTGAGATAAAAAAGTCAATGGAACGAGGGGGATTCGAACCCACGATCTTCGGTTTGATACGACGCTGCTCTACCACTTGAGCTATCGTGACCTCGATCCACTCGGACACCAACTTCCCATCTCAACCCCACCTTTTGAATTTTCCCTCCTTTTCGCCATTTTTCAACTTTGATTTTAATTTTTTAAGGTTTGATAAAAATCTCATGATTGAAGTCATAGTCCACAATTTTTACCAATGGTCGAAAAATGTGATTTATTTGTCTTTCTCTACGAATATCTGTAGATAGGACAGCCCTCAACTTTTTCTTGCCAGTAATATGAGATGAATATAAGGAAAATTTGTATTAGCTCTCTTGAACAGACTTGTGTTCCGAAGAAGGAACGTGCTGAGGTTGCAAAAACGCCTTTCCTCAAAAGACAACCTGGAATTACATCCGATCCCCATTTGTATCCGACATAATATGTAAATCTATACCAACCGGAGGTCGATCTAATGTAACCTGACTCTTTTGTGAACCCCTTTTCCCACGCGGGTCATGACCTCACCCCCTCATCCCCCAACCTGATTATAAAGTCACCCCCTTTCTAATACCATCCTCCTATTTCCTTTGTCATTCTTTTTTTTACAGCCGATTTACATAAAAATTTCATATTTAGTAGTCCATTTTTTTGGATTTCCGTTGAACGATCATGTGCTTGGGCGGTTTGAACAAAATGTGTATCATTAGGAATAGACGGTTTTGCATACCAACATCATGCGAGCCCATCTCACCCGAACGTTCAATCGTCTAATTGTTGTGAAGGGGCCGAAATACGAAAGTGGCCGGTTGGTGACCCCCTGTTTCCCTAGATCTCTCATAGATTAGAGGTTAATTGAAGAATAAAATGCATCACACAGTTTTATATTAATTATCCGCCCATTGTCTTAATTAGTCACACTCCTCTGAAAACCTTCGGATCGTGTTTAATAATAAATCTTTTTTCCCAAGGAAGATTGTTTACACTTTAAACAGGAAATAGCTTGTGGTATAATTTTCCCGGCGAGGAATTCAAAGTCCGCTGCTTACTAGATAGCAGTAATTTTGGTTCTGTAAATGAAGACCGACCTTCTTCTTGTCAAGATTATATTTATAATTAGCATCGGCCCACAACGGTGCAATTCTTCTTCATTCACATCAATTAATGATCGTAACATGCAGATGATGATGATGAAGGACAATATAAGGACTTATCAATCTGTACAAATTAAAGTTGCCGACTAGCTTTTTCCTAATAAATAAGCCCTCAGGATGAAATTCTATAGGTTGAAAGCTTGGCGAACATTTTCATAGAATACAATTTGTTCATCCTTATATGATCCTTCATCATCATAATCAACAAAATAACATATGAACATTGTTCAATTGCCTTTGTCCTAAAATTAAAATGGTATCATTTTTACTCACAGCGCTCACAGTGTTTCACACGCCCTTATTTTTAAATTTATTAAAATAATGTATACCAATACATTTTTGATTGTATATTTCTTGTGAAGTTTTTAAACTGCATGGGTGGTGTTTTTTAAACTTTTGATGTTTACATAACGGGCTGAAACAGTTTTGAATTTATTGAATATATTATAATTAATTAAGGGTTTTTGCTGAGATAAAAAAGTCAATGGCACGAGCGGGATTTGAACCCACGATCTTCGGCTTGATACGCCGCTGCTCTACCACTTGAGCTATCGTGACCTCGATCCACTCGGACACCGACTTCCCATCTCAACCGCACCTTTTGAATTTTCCCTCCTTTTTTATCTCAACTAAAAACCTTAATTAATTGTAATATATTAATTGGTCAAGCGGACCACGAAATTAGTGAATTTATTGAATATAGATATATCGCCTGAGATATTTTTCTACGTTCAGGAAAGTTCTTAGCCTTTTTTTTTAATTAAGAAAACAACATTTTCTTTTCTATCTAAAAAATATTGTGAGTTTGAGAATATTTTATGATCGTGAATATGAAGAGGTGTAGGCAGAGGAGGTAACTTTTGCTCGACATAGAGAGAAGAATGGTCGCAATAATAAAATCCAAAAAGTCGAGAACTACTAGAAAACAATAATTTTGGCAAAGGAATGTAGAAAAGGACCGTTTGTTTCAAGTTTAATCGAGAATATCCAGCAAGAACTGCTTTACCATAAGGTCATTTAATTATCCTGAGAATCTATACAATTTTTGACAAAAGTTTCTTCTCTTTGCCTCTTCTATGTATCAACCTTCATTCATGAAATTACGCCAATTGATCGTACACAATGAAAACATTTGTTAATAACGTGTATAAACTGTTTTTTTCTTTCCCCGAGGGTTCGCAACAGCAGAGGTTATATCAACCCTCAGGGTTTTGGGTTCGAATGCAGGGCCGCTGGATTCGAACCCGGGACCTTTACCTTACAGTGATGAGAGCCGCGTCAACCACTAAACCGTTGCGGCCACCGTGTCGGTGACGCCCCGTGTATAAACATTAGTGTGAAGTACAGCATAAGCATTAGTCGATGACGCGTCAGAACTACTTTAAAAGACTTTTCCAAATTAAACTTAAATACAATTTAAAAGGCACTCTCTTGATTCGAACCCAGAAGTGATAACGCGTCGAAAACGAAACATTTATCAAGCTCAGGAGTCAAATTAGCTGTTTTGCACCATAAAAGAGGATTGATGAGATTATAGTCTTTACAAAGTTTAGTCTTGTTTTTAACCATTGTGTTGTGTGCTTTGTTCAGATGAGAGATTAGGCCATCAGCGTAAAGGCGGTGTCTCTTAGCCGATTAGGATTCATCGTGTATGTCAGGAAGTCGTTGAGACTGGTCCTGAATGGCCAAGCGGATCCCACAAGGACCTCTCATTGTTCTCGACCGCTTTATTTCTTGCAAGCGCTTTATTTACAAATCGGACAATATTTCTCAATAGGGATCGAGGAAGTTGTTTAAGGATGCGGAAACTGTTCGGATAAATAATTCTACGGCCTCGGGTCGGTTCGATGTCCACTCGGGATCGCCTTAGGCAAATGGTCGTCGCGTGCCAGAAGGATTGAAATTGAAAAACATGAAACGGCATTGACACTCCCTCAGGAAGGAGTTACAATTATAGAACCGCCACCAAATTGGGACCATCAAACACCTGTTGTACCGCTGCTAAATACGGCACCGATCTTTGTCTACCGGCCTCGCTCTTCCCATAATAGCCCCCGCGTGCATAATACATAATCGGGCTTCACAATCAAAGCCCTTGGTTATTATTATTATGATTTATAAGTTAATAAACCAGTACAACTCGATTTTATAATTTAGAAGCATGGTGGTCTTCTTTATAACGTCTAACTTTCAACTGCCACAGAACGACCGATTGAATGTCTTCTGTAGCAATCGTTTCCGATCAATTAGATCAGCACATTCCCACTTTTCTACCTGTGAGACGCGTTTCAACCTTTCCCCAATCATCAAAGGTTTAGCTGTATCAGAGCACACTGTTAAAACAATTTTTAAAATAAAAAACTATCGTTCACCAAATGTTCGACATAATATGACAACAGTTCAGGCCTAAAACGAAATCTATTCCTGCAGTTTGGTCGCGATATTAATACTGCGATGATCTGGTCGACCTGCCCTGTTTTGTTTTGCCTATTAGATGCGTTTGTTCATTAAGGCCGCCACACACGACCAAACATGTTTGAAGTTTGACGTTGCACCCACACGGTCAAACTTATTTGTTAAAAACTTCTGTCCAACATGCTTCAAGTTTCAGTTTCAAATAGTTACTGGTTGAGTTTAGTTCATTTTACAAAGGATTTTAATTTTATTAATTATATTTACTGCCTGATGAGGAGTGAAGCAGCGAAGAGAGAGAGAGAGAGACCGTAAAAAGAATAAGAGGTCCGTATGGACAAAACAGTGGCTGATGGAAAGAGGTTCTTATGGGCACGTGAATCTCTTGAACGAGCTGAGGTGTGCCCCTCAAGACTGGCACAACTACATGAGGATGGACGAGGTAACGTATTTATATTTGCTCTCTCTGGTTGCTCCAAAAATAAAAAAAGAAGACAGTCACGAGGAGTTCAATTTCCGCCCATGAACGATTGACTGCAACTCTGCGTTTTCTGGCAACAGGCAGAACCTATGATATCGTATATGTCTTCGGCCCCTGCGCCAGATCTTGCGGAGTTCAAGACTTTCTTGTGTTCCCTTCTCCAAGAAGTTCGCATGAATTGATTTTTGTTTCAAATCAGCTACAGTAGCACCGGGTTCAATTTCGTGTAACTTGGAGAGAAGGTTGTTGAGCGCAGCATTCTTCTTATCGCGGTTACTGTAATCCTTACTTTTCACAAGCCAGAGTTCAGGAAATGTTTTGTATTGTTCAATAAACTCACTCAAAAAAGTTTTGTTCCACACGTTGATGGGTTCCATCAATAAAACTAGTATGTAAACAGAAATTATGAGTCATATCAACCAAACTATGAAAGTGCATAGCAACAGTGCATTAAGGCATCATCATTTATAGACCAAATCTCAAAAACGAATTTTAAATGTGCTGGCTAAAACCGTGGAATGATGCAAATTTCAACAAGCCCGATAAAAAACTTTCCTCAAAACAAGATTATAGCGGTTTATATCTTAAACAGTTCTCGTAATTTTAGAACTACTGATATGCATAAAATGTCATACAGCGACTAACAGACGAAACCAGCAGGTATGGGCAGACCAACCTACAGGTTGGTCAGTTCTCAACAAGAATCTCACAATAAATACTGAGTCTGTTCAGGATTACCGTCATTATCAATAATTGCAACGACAAAATAGCACATGTATTAAAACATAATCAATGGTGATCGTAATTAAATTTTTATAACACTATGACTACAGGCTTATCACCTTGCACATCACGAGAATTCAAATTTATTTTATACAAATTAGATTTAAAGGAAAATATTTTTTAACTAATTGTACCTAAATTGTATCTCAATGTAATATGAAGTCATCCTATGGATAAATGAGAGTGTGGTCAATTCAAAAATCTCTTATTCTTTATATAATTTTCACTACCTGTAATAAAAAATTATATATTGCAAGGGTTTTAATAATTATGTTTGACCTTGACTTTTTCTCTTTGTAGAAGAACTATCGGTAAAAGATAATGGATTTGCCGAGTAAAACTGAAAATGTGGCAGCGTAAGGGCGAGAATAGAAAGCGGACTTACAGAAATAGCGACGAAATCCTCGTCAACAGTGGGCTTTGAAAGGAGGCCTTTTCTTTGGAAAAACACCAGGTAATCCTAACTCGGCCAAATCCAGGTCGTGAGGATACGAAGGGCCACCAAGAACTGACAACCCTTGACCGGGGGCTAAATGGGGTAGCGACCGTTAGCCTCGCCCTCGCCACCCTCCAACTCTATTTGATGACTGACCGGTTTCGCAAACTTACCTGCCGACAAAAAGTGCACGTATAAAATTAAGAACCAGTTAAGGCTGAGGGAAAGGTCGGATTATCCAGGAATGAACGAGTCGGGGGAGGGAGAAGAAAAGTTGTACGTTCTCGATTTAGGACGACTTGTCTTTGCGATGGAACTGGAGGGTGAAAGCCGCCGCCACCCTCGGGAAATCACCCCTATTTCTTGCCAACACGCAGATACGGCAATTTCAGCGTTACCAGACAGTTTGACACTCACTTTTGTTTCTAATAACAAGTTAAACGCTGTTGAATAAACGACTCCATTTCCGACACCTCTGGAAAAACGGTGGTGTTCTCCCTCGTCGGCCATTTATCAACCGACTTTTAAATAAAGTGGTGGCCACAATTGAAACATGAAGCCCAAAAGTTGGAAATATTACAAACCATTAGTTGTTACCTTATACTTACAACAAATTAAGACAAATTACTTGTAACTATCTTACATTTTTTTATACAATAGAGTAGAAGCATGAAAATCTTTCCAGTTCGCATAGTCTACCTGTCTCAACGTTTTCTCCTCAGAAGGACCAAAATAATCGGAATCCACCGAAGAATAAGTTCATCACCCCTCAGCCCAAGAACAAAACGTCGAAAAAATTCTTCAGCTTGCCGAATGACATGAAATGAGTTTGGTCAGGCCCTGTGGATGAGCCCATTTTTGATTAGGCCTGGTTGTCAGTCACGTTTACAAGTGGCCCATCAGCAGGTCGACGCAGTGTTTCCAAGCCTTTCATCATGAAAAATGATTTTTAGATGAATGATTCTTTGAAGGAATTAGCGTCTCACAAATTAACTGATGTTAGTCGACGTGTTAACTCTTCATTAGATGTTTTTAAATCGCATCGAACATAAGATTTGAAATATTGTACATAATAGTCTTAAAAACATTGAATAAGACAATAAATTTTTTTCTCTTTTTTCCGTTTTTCTCGAAAACTACGGGTCCACGAACTTATTTCTTGTTCCAATCGACCCAGCAGGTCAATGTACATCGAATAATTTAAAAAATCGGTTTTTTTTTCTTCTTCTTTTCGTTTTTCTCAAAAACTACTTGGTTTACGGGCTTTATTCTTGTTTCAATCGACCCACCAGGTCGTTTTACAAGGAAAAAATGAAAAATCGAGATTTTTATTATTTTTCGTTTTTATCAAAAATTACGTGTTTTACGGGTTTTATTCTTGTTCCAATCGACCCAGCAGTTAGTTTTATATAGAATAAATTTAAAAAAGTTTGGATTTTTTCTCTTTTTTCCGTTTTTTTCTCGAAAACTATGTGGTTCACGAGATTACTTCTTGTTCCAATCGAACCAGGTATAATCTGGTGATAAATTTCACACTTTTTCAGAAATATCACTTTTTTGTTCGATGTGAGTCATTAGCATTCCAATTTGCAACACGGTGTTTCATATCACATTGAAAAATTTACTAAACACTGGAATCGGTAATATTAATATTTAACTTTATTTTCGTAATTCAAACTCGGGAGAAGATAAAACACAGGATAATCGAGTACTTTGATCATTTACTATATGATATTTGGAGACTTTCAACTGGCAAATGTGTTAACCTATTCAGGAAAGGTATTCGAGTAGTTACTGCTAGCAATTAACACGTAGTAAGTAAACTATAGCCTAACCTTGAAAGAGTTCATGAAATAGCTCACTTGCGCATTTGTTAACAGACTCCAGACTGTGATTGTCGAATGTTTGAAAAAGTACATTTGATTCATAAAACCTTTCACTAATAGCTGGCTTAACATGAGGATGTTCGCACGCTACAACGTGCATTGTTTTTTTTAATAGTTTTTATTTGTTAAATATTGATTTATTAATTGTTCAGAAATCGTGAGATGCGGTCTGGTTTCAGAAAACATTTTCTTTATCGTGCCAATGTTTCGATCTTTATTGAGATCATCTTCAGGGCTCAAAGTGTTTGTCTGTGCCATTGTAATTGTGCCATTCTTGCAGTCTCAACACGACACGCAAGAATTACACAGAAGACAAACACTTTGAGGCCTGAAGATGATCTCAATAAAGATCGAAACGTTGGCACGAAAAAGAAAATGTTTTTCTGAAACCTACATCACACCAGACCGCATCTCACGATTTCTGAATAATTATCGATTAACGGTCACTAATCACCACACANCACACACATACATACACACACACACACACACACACACACACACACACACACACACACACACACACACACACACACACACACACACACACACACACACACACACAAAATGTACATTTTTTTATCGTTGATTTCGTTTCGTTATGATTTATGTTTTAATTTTCAGTTCGTGTGTGGCTGAAAACCAATGGCCGACATGCCGCAGTCGTAAATTTTTGTTTATTAAACTAAATCACGTTTGTCTCACGGGCGTTTGGGAAAACAAGGAAGGTAGTTAAGAGTTAATAAGAGGTCTTCGTCGAATCAGGGCCAGAATCGCGTTCCCAGCAATTGTTTTCCCCGGGGTCAGAGGTTGCCGGACCGGAAAAAAGATATGGATCTTTTGAGGAAGCCGGTAATTAAAGCAGAAGGCGCTCGTCAGAAGCCACCCCACCAACTTTTTAAGCCCCGGGCGGGATGGCTAACCGGCCATAACCGAGAATTAAATCGGCCAACCGCCTGTGAACTTTCTTGGCCAATTAGGGCCCTTAATTTTCCCTCAGGCACAATGTCGTTTTTTAATGCTCGTAAACCTCACACGTCCACTAAATGAACCGGGATGGATGTAAAACCGTAATAAAAGCCTGCATAATTCTCTTTATTGTCCACTTAATTGTTGCAGTTCCTCATATCTCCAAGGTATTATTTGTTAACATTTAACGACTTGTGCATTACATTTCATTCTAACATGTAAAATCTCAGTTAAAGCGTTAATTTAGATTATGAGCCAAAAATACATTCATTCATTAAAAAAGCTAAGTATCACTATAGAACAAACATTTCTATCCTGAAATTGTACAAATGAAGTGCCACTAAAATGAAGCCTGAAATACACAAAATACTTAACGTCCAACCGTTAGGTGTGACCCCGGCCAAGGGGCAAACCCCTTAACAATACCTTTTCCATTTTATTACCAATTGAAATTCCATCTGCTGTGACTGGATTCAAACCCAGGAATGATAGTCCGACCCTGTACGAATACCATATAGATATGAAACCAAACTTGTCCCTAACACTAACGCTAATCGTAAACGAAACCGAAACCTAACCCATTCATAAAACTAACCTTAACCCTCACCCCAACCTTAAACTTAACCTTACCCTACATAGCCCAATCCGTCCCTTAAACCAAACCGTACATAACGTTGCCATTCCTAACTAACGTAGCCTAACCCATGCGCACTCTCTGGTTAAAACAGCCATACTAAAACCTATCCGTGTTAAAAAGTACAGTTTTTGTTGCCAACAGGGGCAAGGAGTTTGTTTGGAATTGGTTGAGCACATATTCCTAACACTACCTAACGTTATCCGTTCATACAACTAACCCTAATCCAAATCTAATTGAAAATTTAACTCGAATAAATTAAACCTAACTCTAAGCCTAACCCGTTTTTCACCCTACATTACCTTACCATTCCTACCCCAAAAAGAACCTAATTTTAATCTTAATCCAAAGTTAACCTGTTGTGATTTTTTCCTTATTATTTGACTTGGGGCTGTTTTAACGGTATTAACCTCTTACAGCTCACTTTCTTTATGATTTTAATTTTTATTGTTTCTTTTAAATAATTCATTTAAGTTCTTTTTTTTCTTTTTTTTCCTTTATTAGTTACTTGTGCATATATTAGTGGCATTTAATACAAAGTTAACCTTTCCCAACCCATCCCTAACCTTAGACCTACCTAACCTAACCCGTTTCTTAACCCTAACCCTACATAACCTTTCCATCCCTAACCTAATCTAACACAACCCATGTGCGCACCCTCAGGAAAATGGATGTCAAACCCAAAAGCATATCCCAGTTATAAAGTTGAACCGGCACTACTTTACACAAATGCTTTTCGACTTTGGGCCATCTTCAGAAAGGAACTGACACTCAACATCCACATCAACATGCAAAATGGATTTCCGTCCGCAAATAGCATGTTTTGACCTGCGTGAGTAACTAAGTCTCGGTTAATTAATATGGCATCTATGATAAGAGATTTTAGTTTTTTCAAGCTTCTTCTAATTTTCGAGTTGTTCGTTGATGCAACATACTTCCTCTTGTATTTTAATCCTCTCTGTTTTGGTATGTCTGAAAAGTTGTTGTTTTGAAAGAGAACCAATTACTGCTTACAACTTAATTCTTGAGTAATAAGTGAACCCAAGCAACGATTTATGTAAAATAATAAATATTTATCTATCTATTTCTTACATCGTTTGCAAGCAACACGCTTTCTAAGGGTAAAGATGCGTATGGAAATAGCGAAAAATGACATAACCCAAACAGTCTCAAAAATGGACTTATTTTATTCTCAAAGTTCAATTAATTGATTGTTTGTGTCTGTCGTTTGATTGCCTTGGAACTACAGAGAACCAATCAAAACGAGGTATACATTGAATCTAACGGAATCTAATGGGACCCACGGTTGACAGTAGAATGATCATAATTAATAATTTCAGATCAGCAACTGGAATATCGACGCGGGAGCAATTTTAACAATAATTTAAATATGAGCGATAATATTTTTAAAAAACAGTCCGCATTTCACCCTGGCTTTCATGTTATTATTATTTATTGCATAATGTTTAGTGGCCTGACTGACGAAATTACTTCTTTCAATTAATTATTCTTCGTATGTAAGGTCTTGAGTAAGTAAATGTCATGATAGCTCAAGCGATAGAGCTGCGGCGTACTGAACCGAAGGTCGTGGGTTCGAAACCCGCTCGTGATACTAACTTTTTCATTTCAACGAAGACCTTACGTACAAAGAATAATTAATTGAAATTAATACTTATTATTTAAT